GGTGCCGAGCCATCCGTCGTCCGGGCCACGGTGACGCTGCGCAGTAGGCACTCCAACTTCAGTTTGCCGGTGAGGAAAGGCTCCAGGATGGGAAGTCTCTCGCCAAGAGTCCGGCTGTGACCTGCCCGCAATGCCCCTGCCTCCCCGGGGGGCAGGCCCTGGTGACATTGGCCCTGATCCCCTCCATCCACCGCCCTGGCCTGGCCCCCCGCTCCCCGGCCGCCTGCCTCAGTCCTGTAAAGCAGGGCTTCTCAAGCTCAGCACCAAGGACATCGGGGGACAGGTCATTCCTTGCCGTGGGTCGTCCTGCGACTGTAGGATGTCCAGCAACCTCCCGGGGCTCCAGTCCCCAGATGAGAGTAGCATCTACAGCGTGACTGCCGGACTTCGCTCAATGTCCTCTGGGGAGTGGGGGATGGGAAAACCACCCCCCCCCCAGCCACCGCTGAGAACCACCTGCTACATAGGAACCTCTTCTGGTTTCAGGGTACATTTCTGTTAGGTCTTTCTGGAGTGAGGCCTGGGTCCATTAGGGAGCATGGAGTCCATCTTTCCACCCGCCCCCCCCCCCCGAGATGGGCTGGGGGGCAAATCACCCCCAGTCAGTGTTCTAGAGACACGAACCAACCAGAGGGGTCAGACACGCCTGTACTTGCATCTGCTCCTAGGAAACGAGGGGCTCCCCTGTGGGGCCCCCCAGGAATGAAAGGTGTGGTGGGGCACCAAGCTTCCCCAGGCGCCTCATGGGGTTCACTTCTCCCCAGCAACTTAGCCCTCCCTGGAGTCTTAACTTATCTCCCCTCCTCCCCCTCCCTGCCCTCTCCCTCCCTCCTCCCTTCCCACCCCCCACCCCCATCTCCCTCCTCCTTTCCCTGCCCTCCCTCCTCCCTGCCCTCCCCCTGGGACATGGAGGGGGAGGGAATGGAGAGGAGTAGGAGGGAAGAGAGAGAGGGAGGAGGGAGGGGAGGGAAGGGAGAGGGGGAGGAAGGAGAGGAAGGAGGGAGGCGGAGGGTAGAGAGTGGGGAGGAGGGAGAAGGGAGGGGAAGGAGGGAAGAGAGAGGGGAAGGAGGGAGGAAAGGGAGATGGGAGGAGGGAAGAGAGGAGG